ATTGAGCAAGACCTGGCAGAAACCCCGAAATCCCGAGGCTCTGCTTTTGCAATGGATTTTCTGCCCGTGGGCGCGAGCCCCGTATCCAGGAGTGACGCACTCCGAGAGCATCAAAGTTTGCTGGAGCCGGATGTTTTCCCCCAAAGGCGCCAGCAGTGGAAACTGGAGATTTACAGCCCAGCAAGGGCCATAAAAGAGGGATTTTGGGAGCCCTGGTTTGATCCTGAGTAAGCGATGATGAAATGTCCCAGTGTGTCCTCACCAGCCTGCAAGAGGGGATTGCGCAGCCGCTGCATCCCACGTTTCCTCGGCTCTTCCTGGTCACACTGGGTGCTGAAGGTCAGGTTAATCCAGAGCCTTTTCCCAGCAGGGTGAAGGTTCCTCTCCAGTTAATGAATCCCATGTGGCACAGCTCTCCTGACACGGATCTAGAGCGGGGATGCCCGGGGGATTGCGGTTCCCAGGGAAAGAGCAGCTGGGATGGGCTGAGGGAGAGGAGGATTGAACTCTGGGGAGGCCAGGAAAAGCTCAGGTTGTGCACTACTGAGCCTGGAAAGGTGTGGAAGTGTCCAAGGCCAGCTTGGATGGGATCTGGAGCACCCTGGGACAGTGGAAGGTGCCCATGGCAGGGGTGGAACGGGATGGGCTTTAAGGTCCCTTCCAACAAAACCATTCCATGATTCCAAATAAATAACATTTTTCCCTTCTCCAGATGCTGCTGGTCGGTGGGGAGGGTGGTAAGGACACAGAGCAGGGGGCTCCAGAGAGCTCCAATTCCCCAAAATGCAGGAAATTCCCTGCAGCTGCCCGAGCTGGCAGAAACTCGGGGTTTTTGGGGTTTTTTTTCAGAGTTCCTTGTTACAAGAGTGGCAAGAGGGGAAGTGCTGCCTTCCAGATTTTAGGGCTATCAGTTCCTCGCAGCTGTCGAGCAAAGGATCCCCAGAAAGTGCCCAGAGACCCCTGGGACCGACAGAGCGGGATCAGATCCTTCCCACTTCCTACAGACCTCAGTGCTCCCCAAAACCACTCAGGCTGAGCAAGCTGGATGCTGCAGGGAGGATATTCCCTGGAAAAAAGGCAATTTGTGCTTTCCCATGGTGTTTTTTCAGCCAGAGGATAAGAAGGGAAAAGCAGCCTGGCTGCTGCCACCACACGAAGCTCCAGGCAGCCCCCGGGGCTTGGCCTCAAGGGAAGCTGGAGCTGGGAACTCCAGGAATTATTCGGGATGAGAAATCCCTCAGCGAAGGCAGAGCCCCAGGTGGGGTTTGCTCCATCCCAGCTCATTTCAGGTCTGGAAAGGGGCACGGAGGGCTGGGGGACGGGGCTCTCCCTCTGCTGCCAGCGTGGGATGTTTGGGAAGCCTCATCCCGTGTTTTCCCATCCCGCTGTCACGATGAATCGGCAGAGTGGACACCACGGTGACCTTTGGATGTTTCCAAATCAAAGACAACCAGGAGGGGTCAGGAAAGCAAAAAAGCAGCTTTTGCCCCAGCACAGCAGGAATCGCATTTTTCTCCCTTTGCTGCGAGTTTACGGCATCTCCCAAAAATGAGACTTCTGCTCCACTTGGACAAAGACATTCCTGCCCCGGCTGCACCCGCGGTCAATGATTAACTCCGAGTCCCAGCCCCCTCAGCCCAGGAAGTGCAGGAAATGCCTCTGCTCCGACCTCCAAAAATGGAAATCTGGCTTGGGAAGTCCTCGCTCACCCCACAACCACCTTCCTCCCGGAGATGCTTTTGGCACCAGGATGTTCTCTGCTTCCCAAGGAGCATCTTTCCTGGATGGGCTCCCTGGATTTCCAGGTAGGGTCTGTGCTCTGCTGAGGATGATTTTCAGTTTACAGACATTAAATAGAATCCCTTGAGAGCATCATGGACTTGGACTTCCTGATCCTGGTGGGTCCCTTCCAGCTCAGGGTATTCAGGGAACAAGCTCAGCCTGGCCAGGATTGATGTGACAGTTATTGAGAAGCAGCTTTAAAAAGCAGCTTTTTCATAGTGGGAGCATCTTCCTGTTCAATCCCATCCTTCCAAAGTGCCAGAACAGCCTTTTCCTTCAGTTTTTGGTGTGGATCCAGGAGGTAATCCCAGGCCAAGGCTTTTGGGAGCATTGTGATCCCTTGGGAAGGTGGTGCTGAGCCCAAGAATGAAGTTCAAGGCTCCAAGGGAGCCAGATCAGCTCTAAATCCTTCCTCCAAAAAGCTTTCCAACACTGAGCAAGGGGAAAAAATGGTTGGAAGGAACCAAATCCAACCTGGGCACATCCCAGAGCAGCATCTCTTTTACCAAGGAAGCCCTTAGAACACAATAAAAGGGAAGGATAACCTAGAAAGTTCCTTTAAACTGTAGGATTTTAAGTGTGGGTGCTTTAAATGATGGGAAAAATTGATGAAGGAAACCAAACCCAACCTGGGCACATCCCAGAGCAGCAAACCTTCCATCAAGAAAAATGCTACAAGGAAAGACAACCCCAAAACCTCCTTAAAACCATAAGATTTTGAGAGCCCGGATGATTTTTGAAGCACAAAGCACAATTTTGGACCAGGAACGAGGACGGAAGCTGCTGGAGAATTTGGGGAAGTCGCTGTCAGTCCGACCTCCAGGAGAAATAAACGTATTTATTTGTGAAGACGGACACGGATGAGGCTCCACGTGCCCATCAGGAGGGAATTAGTCACCGGAGCGTGACTGGGGAAAGGGATGTGTACACAGGGCACGTCGCTCCCGCATGGAGCATCCACGGCAGCGGGAAGCAGCTGGAGAGAAGCAGCACACAGAGATTTTTTCCCCCCAGGCTGGAGCCGTGGTGCCGGCTGGGAAGCGGCCAAGAAAATCCCATCCCTCAGCAGAGAATATCCATCTGCATCTCCTGGATGCGGGCAGTGAGGGAAAGCCGCGGTGAGGAGCCCCGGGATGGGGAATTATTCAGCCAGAGCATCATCCCTGGCATGGGGAGCTCATCCCGGGAATTCTGCGCTGAGCTGGGAGCGTGTCCATCCCCAGGAACCCATCCCAGGGGGTGAGAGGAGGCGGATCCTGCCCTGGGATGTGAAGTGCCCTGGGATGTGCCCGCACAAGCCTCACCCAAGGCAGCCAGGGCAGGAAATTCCAGCCATTCCCCTGCCGCAGCTGCGAGGTTTGGGGTGGAAGCTCTGGGGACCCCTCCCGCAGCACCTTCAAGCGGAGCTCGGCTTTGATTTGCAAGCTGGGAAAACAGGGAGAGGGAGCAGCTGCCAGATGGACGCTGCCCAAAAATCCCACCTCGTTTAGGAAGGGGCTGGGAAGCGGGAGGAGCTGGGGAGGAGGAAAGAATGGCAGTGGAGGAGAAGGAAGAATTAAAATCTTTGAGGGGCCAGTCCACCAAAGGGATGTTCTCCATGAATCTCTGCGTCTCCACCGAGGAATCCGAGCTCCATCAGGAGCCTCCTCACCAAGGACAAAATCTTGGATCGGTCCCCCCGGAGGGTTCTGTTTGCAAAATGACCTCATGAGCACATGAGTTACCCGAGGCATGACATCAGCCCGGGAACACCGAGCAGGAAAAGCTTCTCACCTTGTAAAGGGAATTAAAAGGAGTGAAATCATCAGGGCTTGGCTCAGAGGAGCTCAGATTCCTGCTCACCTGTGAGGGAGATCCCAAAGCTCCTGGAGTGTGCTGGGTGTTGGTGGGTGGAATAAAAGCTCCATCTCCAAGAAGAGGCTGGAGAGCTCAGCAGGATCACCATGGCAGCTCAGGGGAAAAAAAAATAAATAAAAAATCCTAGAATTAAGGCATAAAAAAGACAGAGAAAAAGCAGAGATTCCACAGGAGCAGTGAGTTTTTCCTTTCTGATTCTTGCTCCAGACAGAAAATCTCCTGGAGTGGGGGCACGGACCATGGTGTGACCTCCCTGAGCCTCATTCTGCCAGGGAACCCCAGGTTTGCCCTGGGTTTTAATTACCTCGGGTAATGAATCCAACTCCATCCTGCTCCGCCCGGATCCCGTGGAGCTGCTGGCGAGGGGTGACCCCCAACACCGGGGCTGTGCTGCTGTCCCTTCCCGGTGACATTCCCTGTCCTGCCACACCAGGAAAGTGGGGACCAGGAGAAGCCCCCAGGACCTTGCCAGGGCTGCAGAGGGTCTGTAGCTTCCAGCTGTCCTGGATCCAGCTGGATTTATCCAGTGTTGCACCCCTTGGATCCAGCTGGAATTACCCAGTGTTGAATCCCTTGGATCCAGCTGGATTTATCCAGTGCTGCACCCCTTGGATCCAGCTGGATTTATCCAGTGTTGAATCCCTCGGATCCAGCTGGATTTATCCAGTGTTGAATCCCTTGGATCCAGCTGGATTTATCCAGTGTTGCACCCCTTGGATCCAGCTGGAATTACCCAGTGTTGCATCCCTTGGATCACCATGGAGCTGTCCAGGTGTCCTGGATCAAGCTGGAGCTGTCCAGTTGTTGCATGCTCTGGCTGTCCTGGATCACTCTGCATCTGTGGAGGGGTCCCCCCCTCCCCAATTCCTGTTTCCAGGCTGGGATGTGGGGCTGCAGGACCCTCCCCAATTCCCGGATCAGGTGGAGCTGTGGGGCTGCAGGACCCTCCCCAATTCCCGGATCAGGTGGAGCTGTGGGGCTGCAGGACCCTCCCCAATTCCCGGATGAGGCGGGGATGTGGGGCTGCAGGACCCTCCCCAATTCCTGGATCAGGTGGAGCTGTGGGGCTGCAGGACCCTCCCCGTGTCCCGGATCCAGGCGGGGATGTGGCACCAGGCTGTGCCCGGGGTGACACCGAGGCTGGATGGCAGCACCATCTGGTGGCACCAGCCCTCCCAGCCAGCCCAGTTCGCTCCCAGTCAGGACCAGCAGCAGCAGAGGCAGGGAGAGAGAAGCCTCAAAGCTGCCAGCACAGATTTTTATCCCTGGAGGGGGTCAAGGTGGATGGGAACACGATTCAGGGTGCACAGGAGGGAACAGGTTTGTCCCAACCTTTAAAACCAACAAGGGCGACAGGAGGCTCAGAGTTAAACTCTTTTATTTCCTTTGAAACAGGGGTTTAAATCCTCAAGTTACAAAGTCCAGTCTGGCAGTACAAGCTGGGAGCGCGTCGCTGGTCCCTGACCCCACAGCACATCGGGATTGTTGGGATTTACAAGGCACTGCAAGAACACACGGAGACAACAGAAGCCCTGACGGGTTGGGATCGGTGCTCCAAGAGTCCTGACGAGCACGAGGTGACGCCTGAGATGCCCACACAGACACCGGTGGCTCCGCAAGGGACGCACGGAGGGCTGGAAAAGGCTCTGGACAAACACCTCGCTCCAAGAGGAGACGGAAAAACCCTCAGGAATTGGGGCCAAGCCAACCAAAAGTGAGGATGGAACAGCAAAATTCTGTTTGCTCCCTCCGGCGGGTCCGTGTGTGTGTGTGTGGGCAAAGCTGGGCAACTCAGTGCAGCCTCTGAGGAGCACCCACGGATAATAATGGGGATTCCCATGGATTCAGGGGTTTCCAGCCCAATTTTTGCACCCACACATCGGGCAAATCCATCCCCAGCACCCCCATTCTGCTTCCCAAACGTGAGCCCAGCACAGGACAAGGCACTCCCTGATCATCGAAGTAAACATTTGTGATTTAAGAGGCTGGTGCAATCGAAAAGCTGAAGGTGGATTTTGAAGTACCACGGAGTTTTCCCTAAGGGCAGTGATAGTTTCATTTCCCATCTTTAATTCCTGTTGGTGGGGAGGCATTTCCTTCCCTACTTTGTCTGAAAATGAGCAGAAGCAGGTCCCAGCTTTCAACGAATACCTCGAAGAATTAACAACTCCCTCAGCTCTGGAGCTTTGGCAGAATATCCCTTTCAGCACATAAGACACTCATCAGACAGGAATATGAGGGGTTTTTTTATGAAAAAGTGCACTTTTTACGGCAAAAAAAAAATTAGGGATTCTGGTGCAAAAATAACAAATCCATCTAGATCGAGATGAGTATTTATGGTATCAGCAAGGGGGGGTTTTCTCCAAGTCAATAAATTTAGAAAGAGCCTTTGCAACTCTGAAATTCCTATGGTTAAAATAAAATTAAATCATTAAAATATTATTGGATGAAGTATTAAAATAAAAGGAGGTAAGAGGGAGGAAGTTACCTTGGGAAAGGATCTGTACAAATTCATTGCTGAGAAATTCATCTGCGCTGTGGGGTGAAATCTGGAAATCAGAATGATGAAAAGCCCCACAGAAAACACTTTTTATGCCTAAAGATCTTGATTTTCAATCAGATTTCAGACACCACCACTCCCTCCTGCAGCAGCTCCGTGTCTGAGCCTTGGCTGGGGTGAGAAATCCAGGAGAAATCCAGAAGATTCAGGAGTCACAAGGAATTAAACCACAACCCCCCCACAGCCAGACATTCATTGCTGCTGCAGCTCCTGTGGGAGTAGGGATTCACCAAATTCCCTCCTTTCCAGGGTTTTCCCATTTTTGGTTTGAAGAAGCTCCTCCTCCTCCTCCTGCAATTCCTAAAAAATTCCTTAAAAAAAATCCGCCCACCAGGGCAAGGAGTCAGAGAATCCCAGGATGGGTTTGGGTTGGAAGGGACCTTAAAGATCCCCCAGTTCCAACTCAACTCAAGATTATTCGAGCCTCAGAAGAAACTTCAGTGGATTTTTAACTTTTTTTTTAAGACCTTTCCTTACCAAAACCAACAGCCCTGGGAGCCTGTGCTGTCTGAGCAGGCCTGGAATCTCCCAGGTTTTTATTCCAGGAATATTCCCCTTTGCCAGCTGCTGAGGCACTGGAAAGTTCAATATTGCCTGTTTGGGACACAGGGGGGGGTTGGATGCTACATCTACACCTGGCCCCAGGTGAGTTCAGACACAAAACACCTTTTCCTACGGGATTTTCCACAGCACAAATCCCACGGAGCTGACAATTCACACATCCCTGCCTCAAGGGATGTTTTGCTGCCGTGGGCATCGCCATCCCCACGGCTCCAAGGAAGCACGGGATCCCGAATTCATCCCAGAGCAGAGCAACTTTGTAGGTTTATTTTTGTGGTGTCTCAAACCCTGCAGGTTTGAGGTTCCTCCTGGGATAACTCAGCGGTTCCTGGCCGCAGCCTCACGTCACAACCACGCTCCACAACCTCAAACCCTCTTCCTGACCTTTCCATCCCTTCCCACCTCTCCCACCGCTCGGAGGTCGGGGAATGCTCCAAGGTTAAGGTGAACTGCTCTGCAGGAGCTGCCAGACTCCCGTGTTCTCTCCCAAAAACTGCCCCCCACCCCAAAAATTCCAAACCCCTCGGGTTGGGAGGATCAAATCCCACAGGAATCCTCCCAGGCTCCTTTTTCCTGGGGTTTTAAAGCAGATTCCCAAGTTTCATTCACCTCCCGACAGCAGCGTCACCAAACTGAGACATTCCTGAGTCTCTGGAGCTCCTCAAAATCCCTCTGCAGCACTTCAGGGCTGGAACAATGAAACTGTCATCCCAAACACTCCCCAACACGTGGGCCAGACCCTGCTCCAGGCAGATAAATGACATCAGACCCAATCCAGCAGAACCTCCCTAATCCTCTCTTCCACACCAAAAATCCTCAGCCCTGTTTCCCCCCCCTCACCTTTATCCCCAGAGACAATTCTGCAGTCACAGCACCCTAAAATTCCATATTTTTTCCTGGTTTTTTTTACATTTTTCCCACATTACAGGCACGGGAATGAACATTCCACCTGAACTTCCTATGCTTTTACTCACTAGCACAAAGGTTTTGGGGTTGGCAACAGGTCTCTCCCAGTCAGTGCAAATTAGCAAATTCTATTAATTGATGATGTGGAAAGCAAATAGGATTTAGCAAAAACATCAGCTTTTTGAAGCTCTGCATCAGTTTGATGTCCTATTCCCAAAGAAAATAGGGATCTGAAGGAAAAGCTTTGTGAATTGAACAACAACAACAACAAAAAGCTTAAAAAACTCCCCCAACCCCAGAGTATTTAATTTAGGTCATATTAAATAAAATTAGTTCAATGCCATTTTTCCCCAAGTTGGGCTACAGGAAAATTCTCTACCACCAAGACACCTTTTATAAACACAACCTCAGGCTAATTTCCCAAAACCCCCCGCAAAAGAAAGAATATAAAATAAATTATGTTTCCTAAGGAGCTGATCATGTGGAGCTTCCCAAAAACAGATCGGGAGGAAAAGCACAGCTCGAAGCAAGTATGCTCCAAAAAAAAAAAAGGGATTTTTAATGCTGACACACCCAAGGCCAAGCACTGCAGTCCTCAAACTCCAGCAGGCACGGAGCTGGCTCCGGATTTTCCCCTGGAACAGCAGAGAGCACCCAGGGAAAGGAATATTTTTAGGTTCTGAACAGGATATAACTCCCCAGGCTGAAGAAACCCGCGTGGGAAGAGGCTCTGCCCACGGAACTGCTGCTGTCTGTGCTCCCTGCTGATGGATCCTGAGCCACCAGCCACATCCAGGGGGATCTCCAGAGGGTGCAGAGACAGGGATGGACAGGGAATTTCTCACCTGGAGACGCTGATTCCTCATGGAGCCCACCCTGCTCCTGCTCCCACCCCTCTGCGGGTCCCTCCTCCCGCCCCTGCTGGGATTCCACACTTGGAATTTTGGTGTGGCCTCACCAATCTGTTGATTTTCCACCTCCATTTCATCCATTTCATCCACAGCTAGGTTACAGGTGAATTCCTGGGAATTACTCCATCACCAAACCCCCGTGGGATATTCCTCTTCCCCAAGTTCAGCAGCTACGAAACACCCAGGACGAAAAAACTTCTCACCAACAAAGGAATAATCCTACAGGGATAAGGAGCTCAACTAATCACAAAAAAAAAAAAAAACACCAAATCCAAAAACCAAACAAAAAAACTGTGTCAAAGCACGAAGATTTCAACAAAATATTAAATAGAATAAATTACTAATCAGGAAATCTGACAAGTGCTACCTCAGATTCGATGGGAACCACAATATCTCACTTGAGGGCAAATTCCTCTGAGCAGGAAGGACTGGATAGTGAACAGAGAAGGAAATTCCTTGGGTCTATCCAAAAAAAATCCTCCTGCTCAGGTGCCCCCAGCAGAGCCCTTGCAGCTGCAAAGTCTTTGTCCCATCTCAAGGAGTGGTTTTGTCCTGTCACCAGATTTCTCCTGGCAAGCTCAGGGCAGCTCTCACTGAGAGTTACTATAGCAGAGCCAGTCAGCACCAGGGAAAATTCAAATCACGGGGGTTTAAAACCTTTAAAATGTTGGTTTTTTTATATATTTGTATCTATTTGTGAAAGCATCTGTTCAAATCACAGATTTCTTCACTCAAATGGCCTCTCCACGAGGCCTCAGCTCCCACTTTTCTGTCTGTTCCTGCTCCCGCTTCAGCTGGGTTTTCGCTGGAATCTCAAAAATTTGGCAGCAAACCTCCACACACGACCAGCACCACCCACCTGCCGAGATCCTGCATGTACCCTTCCCCAAAATAATTCCTGGGAAAGTTCCCACAAGCAGCACCACTTTTGCACCCTCCCATTGGGAGGGGGGGACACCAAGAAAGAGCCCGGAATCCTCACTCCAAGCAAAATTCCTTAAATTTCAAATCGTTGCCTCTTTTGGTTCCCAGGCAGTGGGATTGGGTTGAAAATCTGACATTTTGATTTTTGCAGGGTGTCTTTCCCATCTGCATTTTTAGGCCTCCACTCAATCAAAGGTGGAATTGGGATCTCAGTTAAACATGATTCTCCTAAACTGGAAGAAGAGGGAAAATTTGCAGCTAAGGAAGTTTTAAATTTAAAAACTCAACCTTCATCTTAAAAACAGCATCGAGCACCAAGGGCACAGCACAAAGATCTCCCGTGGGGCCTCAGCAGAGCTTTTTACCCACCACTGATTGGTTTTAGACACACTTGAACCGAGGTGTTTGGTACAGGAGGTCCATGATTTGAGGGAGGGAGGTGGCCAAGAAAGAGGCAGGAAAGATCTGGAAAGATTCAGGAGTCAGGCTCCAAAAAAAAAAATAAAAAATAAAAAATCCAGCTGGATTTGGGTTCCAAAAGAAACCCCAAACACCTTCTACTGCAGCTACAGAGACCCTATGGATATTTGGAGGATGTGGAGTGAGGAATCAGTGCCTAAAATCATTTTCCATTCCAGCAAAGCGATTTCAGGCTCCTCACCAAGCTCTGCTTTCCAGGACAATCCCACACCATCCAGTTGTCCTTCCGAATCATCACCTTGAATTTGGGTCAGGAGAGGGGGAAAACAAACCCAAAACCAAGTGAAAGCAAACCTTTCAAGTCAGGAATTAGCCATGAGAGAACTGGGTGAGCAATTCCCTGCACCTGAAGGCTGAGTCCAAGTGAGGATCCATTCCCTGGAATCTCCCAGCACACATCCTTCAGGAATCTTCAGGAATGAAGAGCTGCAGGTGTTTTAGAGAAGAGATTCTGAATCCTTTGTTGCTCAGGCTGAAACTCACAGATTCAACAACAAAAAAAAAAATGTTAATTTCTAGAAGCAGAGTTTGTGGAATTCTCTTTTTTTTTTTTGAAGTCTCCAATTCTGTGTCCGGAACCATTTTTTGTTGTTGGATTTTTTTTTTTTTTTCCTTTTTTTCTTTTTCTCTTTTATTTCTTTTCCCCCCACAATACTTTGGCAGCAGGGAAAATTTTTGGAAGTGCAATACTAGGAGAGCTCCTGGCCAGGCTCAGTGTTCATGTTGACAATTGATTTTGTCTTCAGAATGCTCCAAAACATCCAGCATTTCCTCTATGATGGCCTGCAGGGCCCGGCCCAGCTGTTCTGCAGAATAAGGTTTTCCCAGAGGAGGCACGTGGACAAACGCCGACCTCCCACGGCTCTGGTACAAGGAGGTGTAGTAGGTGAAGTCACAGAGGTACCTGGAACACAAAACCAGAGATTATTCAATTCAGATAAAAAAAATAAAAGGGATAAAACCAAATAAAACGAGCTGTAGGTTCCCATCGTTCGGCACCGCGGCGGCATCCTGGGGGTTAGGGGAGTAACGTGGAAGGTAAGGCGGGAATTGTGAGTCTGGGATTGTTTTAATGAAATTTAGGATAAAAAATGTGGAGATTTCTCTTTGTTTTTTCCCCCCCTGAGCACTGAAAAGCAGGTGGTATGGGCAGCCCTGAGAAGTGAAAGGCGTGGGAGGCTTCAGACAGCCGTGAATGTGGCACTTGGGGACACGTGGTGGCCTTGGTTGGACCCGATGATCTGAGAGGGCTTTTCCAACTTCAGTGGTTCCATGGAAAGCGTGGGGGGTTGTAGGGGCCTCAGGAGCCGAAGGGAACAGGAGTGACACAGACACAGGAGGTTGTGGCTCTCCCTGGATCCCTGGAAGTGGCCAAGGACAGCCTGGATGGGGTTTGGAGCAGCCTGGGGTAGCGAGAGGTCCCTGCCCCTGGCAGGGCTGGGGTGGGATGGGATTTAAGGTCCTTCCAACCCAAACCAGTCTGGGATTCCCTGATTCCATCAACAGGGGGACAAGATGGTGTTCAGCAGGCTTGCAGGGCCTGAGGGGCTCCAGGAGAGCTGGACTGGGACTGGGGACAAGGCCTGGAGGGACAGGACACAGGGAATGGCTCCAGTGCCAGAGGCCAGCGCCAGGTGGGACAGTGGGAAGGAAGGAATTGTGCCCTGGGAGGGTTCAAAGCCAGGCTGGAGGAGAGAAGCTCCAGGGACACCTTGGAGCTGCTTCCAGAGCCTAAAAGGGCTCCAGGAGAGCTGGAGAAGGATTTGGGACAAGGGCTGGAATTCCAGGACACAGGGAATGGCTCCAAACCGGGAAAGGGGAAGCTGGGTGGGATATTGGGAAGGAATTCCTGGCTGTGAGGGTGGAGAGGGGCTGGGACAGAACTCCCACAGCAGCTGCTGGAAGTATCCCAGTACACCGACAGTCCACCCCTGGATCTATCCAAGAACTTCAGTGCTTGGAGCAACCTGGGTTAACAACTACAAAAGCCTTAAGGTGCTTCCCAAGCCATTCCAGCATTCCCTGACCCCACATCCCCAGGGGTCACCCCTCACCTGCCAGCATCCTTGGAGATGGTGACGGTGACGTCCAGCCCCAGCGCCGAGACCCTCCTGCACACGGCGTCCATGTCGATGATGGAGTCGATGCACTCGGGGCCCCCCTCCACGCAGCACTGCGAGCCCGGGCAGAAGCGACAGTTGTCCAGCCCTTTGTAGCCCACGTTGTGGCCACACTTCTCCAGGGTGACGGTGGTGGCCATGCCCGACACGCCCACGTGAACCACCAGCTGCCAGGGAACCAGGGATGGGGTTGGATTGTGGAAAATCCTGGTGGGATCCTTCCAGCTCGGGGTATCTCTGATATCCCTGCCTGCCCTGACGCTCCGTTCCCTTCTCCAAACTCCCAGCCCAGCTCTCCTGGAGTCACTTTAGGGACTGGAAGCCTGGTGACATCTCAACCCTGTCACCGTGCTCGTGAAATCACCGACTCTTGTGGGTTTAGGTTCTGCATGTGGCACTCAGTCCAAGGCTGGACTCGATGATCTTGGATCACTTTCCAGCCTAAATGATTTTGTGATGTGATTTTAAGGTTCTCCCCACCCCAAACCACTCTGGGAGTGCAGGGTTCCATCCCCAGTGAAGCACGGAGATGTTACAGGTGAGTATCAGAGGAACGAGGCAGTTTTATCATGGGCACAATTCTTCTCATTTCACCCCCTCCTGACCTAAATTGTGATTTAATCAGGGTGAAAAAGGAGCGTTGGCACCTTCACAGCTGCTGGAGGAGCCCAGGTGGCACAGACAAACCACGAGCTGTCTAGACAGCCCTCTGCAGTGGCCCCTTCACACCCCCTGCTCCTGGGAACTGGAGCACTGTAAAATCCTACAAATTCACATGTTCTCACCACTAAAGAGGAAAAGATCCAGCCAGGGACTTCCAGGCTGAGGGAATACATTAAAAAGGAGACTTCACATGGTGCCCACTGCAGATTCCAACCCTTTGCTGGGTGGTTTTTTCTCCTGCCTTTACTCACTCACTTGGGGACTGTGCTTCTTCCACAAGGCAGGGATGAGTCTCTGCACGGTCTGGTACTCGACAGGGACCTCGTAGACGTGCAGATCCACGTCATCCCGCAGCCCCAGCTTCTCCAGCTCCTAAAAACACCAGCACAGCAAAACCAAGATGGTCAGAAACGAGATGAGCAGAGGATTTACTCCTGGGAGGTTTAATGGCAGAGTGAGGGACTAATACCAGTTTACACCAGGTTGTATAACCTCGTAAACAGCACCTGGAGTGAGTTTACAGCAACCACTGTGAAAAAACAAACAACAAACCCATAATGGGAACAACAAAGGCATCTCTCCACCTGTGTGAAGAGTTTCACCCACAGAACCGTTTGTCTGGCTCTGGTGTGTGTGTAACAAAGAAATCAACATTTAACTGACAATAGTTATCAGCAACACCCACGCTCCCAAGGAAATCTTGGCTCTGTTATTTATAGAGGGAGAGAGTCACAATCCCTACTTCTTTCAAGGAGTGACAATGTAGAGAAGGTGGGACTGGAAGGATTTTATCCATCATCCAGGGCTGCTGGCCTGGAGAGTAATTTCACATTTATTTCCAGATAAAGAGCTCTGAGGGCTGGGTGACAGCGCTGGTGATTCAACTAAGCCAGTAAATTATTTCTCCCTCTCTAACATGAAAACACCCCAAATATCCTGGCAATAAATGGAGCCAACTTCCTTCAAACCTTTTGAAACACAAAGTGGCAGTTAAATAACTTGCAAAGACTTTAAAACCAGAGGAAAGGGTGGGGTTTCTTTTACTCCCCAGTATTTCTGGCTCTGTTTGATCCCAAAACTGGGAGTTTCCCCTACACACAGGTTTCTCCCTTGCTCTCTCCAGTCCCACCAGTAAGGCTCCAGTTGGAGCTTTGTTCCTTTGGTACCTCTCAGAGCCATCAACCCCAAACTTCTCAGAACTCAAGGTCTGGAGCCTCTGGGAAAAAAAATGGGTTCTTAAACAAAACCATCAAACTTTGGAGCCAGGTAACACCTGGAAGCATTTTTCCACTGGGAGAAGAGACCTTGGCCATCATGTTTAAGGGAATCCTGTATCATCTAACCTGGATCAAGCTTTCTTCTTGTCACAAATTGCCCAAAATAGCTGTGGATCTGAGGTAGGAACAGGTAAAAGCCATCAAAGGACAAAGGACATTTCAAAATACTCCTGAATTTATCTTTATTCCAGGTTCGGATTCAGTGACCAGAGCCACGAGCTGCTCTTTGAAGCAATTCTCAGGCTTTATTTTCCACCTTGCAAGCTTCAGGCCAAGGAGTGCAGATCAGCTGTTTTCACTCTCCAACCTTGTATTTCCCCAGGTTAAAAATTAAAAATTAAAGACACTTGAAAAGAAAAGACAAGTTGAGGTTTGAGGCCTCCCCCGTTTAAACGTGAGCAGCGTCTTGCTATCGTTTTTCTGTGTTTTTATCAGCATGAGTGGTTTCCCACTGAGGAACAAAACACCTTTCACACTTGTACAGCCAAACCACGGCGATGTAACAAGATTTAAGGTAACTAAAACACCCAGAAAGGCCAAAGTGATGCTTTCACAGAGCAGCAGATATGAGCAACGATGATAAATCACCGGCTCTGGCTCCCAGGGCAAGGCTGATATTAAAGCCTTGCTGTATTGATTAGTGTCTGGCACACTCAGACATTCATTACCAGAGATGGATGTTAAGGGATGGCTCATCACAGCTCCTCTGCACAAATCTGCCTCCAAAACCTCCCCTGCTTTACCTGGAGCCCCAGCAAAGTGAAGGGGTTTACAAATGACACGATTCCAGCACCAGTCAGCCTCTTTAGGAAGAGAATAAACACTCTTTAGGACTGTTAATACTAACGAGTGATGCTGCTGAAGGTGAAGGATGACGAAGGAAACAGCTCCTAGGGATGGATTTGATGGTGGGAAGTTTTGCTGGATGAAAAGAGAACCCTCCCCACCTCCTCCAGACACTTAAAACCTTAACTTTACCAAGCCACAACTTTCCTTTTAACCAAGCCCAGCGCTCCATGATGAAGATGTTTGTAACCTTCCTCCCCCCTCCCTGAACAACTTCTCCCCCCCAGCCCTGTCCACCTGACAAACAGAGCACACTGAACATGTGTGACCGATTCCCTGACCCCTCCACAATGCTGCTCTTTGTCAGCCTCTAATATCCTTATCAGGTCTGTCTAGACACCCTGACAGCAATTGTCCTTCCTAATGTCAGAATGCACTCTGACCTTTCTCCTCCTCCTCCTCCTCCTCAGGCACTCTGGGGGGGATGAAGGAGCCCAGCAGCTTCACAGTCCGCAGGTCACACCTGTGCCCACACCTAACTCACAGCAGGGAGGGCAGAAAATTCACTGAGAAAAGCTCATTTTAGTCATTTCTTCTTGGAAGTTCCTCCCCAGCAAAAGTTGTAGAAGTGGAAGAAAAAAAAAATAATAATAAAAAAAACCTGAAGTGAAACGCTAAAGTGATGAAAACTCAAAGCAGCAAACCCAAATTAACACGGAGTGGTTTTGCTGTAAGGCTTAAAATAAAGCAGAAAGAAGAATTTTCTTCCCACTGGTTTTATAGGAAAGTTCTCCCCTGTGAGTAAAAACCCAAATATTTAATCAGGGGTTTTTTTTTTTGGGTGAAATTTTGAAACTTTTCATTTTGGCAGCATTATTAGATTGCTGCTGCCGCTATTTAAGGTACCCATGTGTAAAAATCAGTCAGCTTGCAAAACCAGACAGAAATTCACTGCACTTCCAGGGAAAACTCACACCGTGTCCGTGTTCTGTGGGAGAAGCCAAATAAAACCAGGGAGGGGAAAAGAAAAAAAGAAGCGAATTTTATCCTCAGGATGCAGCACAATAAAAGATGCAATAAACCAGAACTAGCTCAGCCCTAGAGCTAGGAAGGATTTACAAAGATTGTTTAATTGATTTTTCTTCTATTAAAATGCAGATCACACCGTCTGGGATTCGGGAACTCAGACACGCCTTTGTGTCCACTCCGCTCCATGAAGTCCCCGTCTGAAACTTGCACAATGCCCACCTCGCCCAGGCTCAAAGACATGCTGTTCCTTTTTGTCTGGGCCTCTCGGGGCTGAGACAGGGGAAGGAAAGGCAAATCCTCCCCGCTGCCTCCGAGCTGATGTTTTCAGTCACAATAATCCGCTGGCCATGGAACGGGACGCAGAGCCTCCAACGCGGCTCCGGTTTGTACTCAAAACACCCCTGTTCTGGGTTTTATCCACTCAAAACACCCCAATTCTCGGTTTTACCCACTCAATACACCCCAAGTCTGAGTTTTACCCACTCAAAACACCCCAAGTCTGAGTTTTACCCACTCAAAACACCCCAAGTCTGAGTTTTACCCACTCAATACACCCCAATTCTGGGTTTTATCCACTCAAAACACCCCAATTCTGAGTTTTACCCACTCAAAACATCCCCAAGCCCCTAAAAATGGATTTTAAATGGAAGGGGGTGACTTCATCCATCAGCCACACAGCTGAGCAGCCACCAGTGCCTCGAGCTGCTTTTATTTAGGTTTGTTGTTTTTTTCTTTAAGCAACATCACAACACCCACCACTTCTCCTGCTCTAAAAGCAGCCTTTTGTCTGTCTCCTCCAAAATAAAAGCAGTTATTTACAATAGCTGACACTACAGGAGCAGGAACAAACCAAATCAGCGAGCCTCACTTCTGATTTCTAGGAATGCCCTGTATTTTATCCCCCATCCACAACCTGCAAATTGACCCAAACTTAAATATATTCATTCCCAAAAAAAGCTCTTGGAGGCCAAGGTTTTGTCTTCTCCTACCAGCCAACACATTAAGCAGCTGGACATTAGTTGGCTGTAATTGATTAGAGTTTGTGATTCAATTTAAAAGCATTTGAAAGGAGATATTAATCTCAGAGCTCTGAAGGGGAGAGAGACGTGGTGGGGAGAAAAATAGATTTAATTCCCTGAGCAACTGTACTAAAAGGTACCATGGAATTCCCAGTAGCTTTGCCACAAGCCCCATCCAGAAGTGACAAAGAAGGAAGAAGTGGAATAATGTAGCAGCACCATCCCTGTAAAAAGTGGTTTTAGAGAGAAAAAAAAATCCTTAATTCCATCTAAAAGAGTTTAATTCCTTCTTCTTGCCTCATTTGTGGGATGTCAGCCTCACACAGATGAATTCCTGGGCACAGGGTGGGGTTTTTGGGGTGTGCATGGCCAGGAGTTGGACTGGATGATTCCCATCCAGGATATTCCAGGATTTTAGGAATGTGCCCAGGCAGATACAGAGCTACAAGCGCCATCAACTTGATTTGTGTGAGCAGGGAGAAGCTGCAGGAAGATATTTCCCCAGAAACTCTCCTGTCCCAACAGCCAAGCACAGAAAGGGTGATCCAGGGGGGGAAAAGAGGCAGCTCTGCCTCGGAATCAGATTCCTGACACTCAGACAACTCCACAAAACCACCAGCTGGAAGTCTCCTCTCAGGGATGAGGCTCGGTTTAAAGGTGAACCAACTGGCCCAGCTTCAAGTCAGAACTGAGAGAAAAACATCCAGATTCCTCTGTGTTGGTCAGTTGGTTTGTTTGTTTTGAATTCTCCAGGGCAGAGGAAGATTCCGAGCTCCCTGCCCCATTTAAAATCATCCAAAGCTGGGAATTCCTTACTTGCCTCAGCTACATTAACTCAATCTCATTAAACTCCACCAGCTAAGGGATTGTTTCCTGAGCAGGGAATCAAACATTATCCAGCTGACCATCTGGATATCTGCAGTGAGCTCCATTAATAAACTGGGAAGAAGTTGTGAGTGAAAAGAAGAGATGAAACCCCAAATTTGGAGGGATCTGTCCTCTATTTTGACTTCCTGAGGAAAATTCAGGGGTTACCTGAACTGCAATCCAGCTGGCGTTCACAGCGTGTTCTCCAAACGGCCCAAACCCTGCAAGAGAAGAAAAATTCACAGATTTCACTCAGTTTGAACTTGCAAAGAGGTTTGGGCTTTCCTGGTTTAGTTCTGAAAAAAAAAAGAACCCCACTTCTACCACGAAATCCTTATTTCTTTACATCTGAGTATCAAACAAGACACCTGCACTAAAATATTTCAACTGCAGCCTTGTACAGTGAAGGAAAACTGTAACTTGCTTGAAAAGAAACTTCTTTTTTTCCTGGGGGGAAGAATTTTCCTTCCTGCCCAGGTTAGAAAAACTTGTTATTACCAGCTAACTTGCCCAATGTCACAGAATTAGAATCATGATTGGATTTTCTATTCCTGATTGCTTCAGCCCACAGCAGATGCTTCCACAAGCCTGCCTCAAATGTTCCTTTTCCGCTCAGGGTCTTCTCCAAGATCTTCGTTAGCATTAATTACACCTCACAAGGAAATAAACAGAGCTGTTGACAACCCACCTACACCACAGCAAAGGCTACCAAGGCTTTATCAAAAATACTTCCTTCAGCACCTCTAAATTCCTAATGAATAACTTTGGAGTTAACTGGTAATCCATAACATCTTTTTTTTTTTCCTGAGCAAGCACACAAAGGTTGGGCAATTTATCTGGGCGTAACGTCGATATGCTTTAATTTAAAATGTCAGTGTTGCCCTCCGAGCCTCGTGCAATTAGGAGACATAAATTCTGCCCAGCCCCTGAAAGGATCCGAGAGGGACCACAAATATCAGATGACACCTTAATGGAAATGTTGGATTTGCCCTCCCCAGCCAGGCTGAGGTGATGCTGCACAGGAGGAATTTCCCAAGCGTGGGCTCGTCCACACCCCGTGGATCTCAACCCGGCGTCGCCGGCTCACCAAAATAAATATTCCCACAAAAATCAAAAATGTTGGGGGTGTTTTCCTGTGAGCAGAACTGCAGGGGTGTGAGACAAACTATGACAGGGGAACGAGGCAAATTAATGCCTTCCCAGCTGTTTCTGCAAGTCCCACACGGCTCTCTGGAAGCAAACACTGAGACCTGCTAAGTTTAATTCCTAAGCAAAGCGTGATAATCCTATAAAAAATATGAAATCCATATTTTAACAACTCAGCCGCGGAAAGGCTGGAATTCTACAGGTGCCCAGGCACAGGGCACGATTCCCTCGCTTCAAATCCCAAGGCAAACTGGCACAAACACAGCTGGGGTTATCGCTGCCCTGACTCATCTCATCTCGTGTTATCCCTTCCTGGGAACATAAGGAACTTTGTGGGCAGCATCCGACCCCACGGAGCACGGCACATCCACCACGGGGCCCTCCAAGGCTCATTAGCAGTAAACCAGCTGCAGGGATCGTGATGGGATTATCTCCTTAACGAGTTCTAAAAAAGAAATTGTGCACAAATAACGCTTATCCTCGGCCAGCACGGGCTCGGAACCCACTGGGAACACGACACCATCCCCAGTTTTGAACGGAATTCAGCGTGACATCGATGACATTATCAAACAGGGGCAGAGCTGACAAGGCAACCGCTGCCTTTTGCAACCAGACTTTCCTGGGGGAAAAAAAAAAAAAAGGGAAAAAAAAGAGCGTGGAGGAGCCTTGCGAGCAGCAGAACGTCTCCTGACGCAAGTTTTCTGTTTAGTCACCGCCGCTCCACGCTGGATTTGGGGTTGGGAAAGGCAGGATTTGCCACCTGCTCCTTGGCTCCCCACAACTGTTCCCTGGAAAAGGCACTTTTGCCTGCGATTACGGCCGCTCCAGCGCAGCCCCTGCTATTCAAACGGCCTCAACTTCAGCTGCTGGGGGGAGACCTGAATAGTTTCGGCGAGTTCCCCATTTGTCACAGGGCTGCCTCACCCACAAATCACCCCGAGCAGCCTTTGTACCCCGGGAAGAGCCTGACAACGCCGGGGCCTCTCGCTGCCTCCGCTCATTCTTCCCCGAGGCGCCTCGGGGGTGCTTTGGGGAGCGGCTCCCGCACCTTGGCGGCTCAGGGTGGGGTGGTCAGCGGGCAATTCCCCCCTCCCTCAGCCCCAAATTGGTTTTCCAATCCTCGGGAGGCTCGGTTCCCTTCTCTCGGCGGATCGCAGACCTTCGGGATGGGGTGATGGATGGGGAAATGGGGTCCGAGCGGCCGCTGTTAGGAAAGGCCCTCACCGCTGTACGCCCCCAGCTCTGACACCCCTGACCCACAGCAGTCCAGCCCCAAAGCCCCCCATCCATCACCCCACACAGGGGACAGCCCATTCCCTCAGTCACCCTCCGATGGGACAGCAGAGCCCTCCTCTCACCTCAGGGAAGGGGTCCCCCACTTATCCCCCCACCATTGCAAGGAAGGGGTCCCTCACTGCGCCCTCCAAGCCCTGTGGTGACCCCAAAATTACCCGTCTCCCCCGGATTCCTCATCACAGGGAAAGGCGACCCTCCAAGCTCCCCATCACCTCGGGGAGGGGTCTCACACCTACCCCCGGCCCCCTGAGCTCAGGAAAAGGGTCCCCAAACCTGCTCTCCCCAGCAAGCTCCTCAGGACAGAGCGGGGCTCTCCCCGCTGCACCCCCAGACCCCTTCACCCCTCAGATCCACCCTTCCCTCCAAGCCCCCCCTCACCTCGGGGAAGGGATCCCTCAGACCGCCCCTCCGATCTCCCCTCAGGGAAAGGCTCCCTCATCTCCCCCATCTCCCCTCTCAGCGCCCCGTACCCGTCACCACCACCGCCCGCCGCGGCTTCTCCATCGCGGCTCCGTCCCGTCCGTCCCGTCCCGTCCGTCCCGTCCCGTCCCGTCCGTCCCGCCGCCGCCGCCGCCCCGCACTGAGCGCGGCCCCGCCCCGCGCCGCCCGCCCCGCCCCGCGCCGCCCGGGCCCGCCGCTTCCGCCGCCGCGGCGGAAGTCCCGCAGCGGGACGGCCTGGAGCCCCTTTACCCGTTACCGATCACCGGGACTCTCTGCGCGCCGCTCAGCCCGGGGGGGGCTCCCGCTCGCCCGCCTCAGCGCGGGACTCGGGGGGGGTTGGTTAAACAAAACGCTCACCTTGAGCCTCACGGGGGTTCCCTGCCGGGCTGTGGGGGAGCACGGAGCGGGTTCGCGGTACCGGGAGGTCCGGAGCGCGGCTCGTCCCGTCCCGGTGCGTCCCGTTGCGGGCGGTGCCGCCGCAAAGGCGCGGACCGCGCGGCGCGGCGCGGCCGGGCCGTGATCCGCTCTCTGATTGGCTGCTGCGGGACCGCGCCGCGCTCTGATTGGCTGCTGCGCGACAGCGCCGCGCTCTGATTGGCTGCGCTTGGAGCCGGGGGCGGTTTGAGCGGCAGCGCCCGGCGCGGCGGCGGCTCCCGGGTCCGGCACGATGGTGAGCGGCGGCACCGGGGCCGGGGAGCGGGGAACCGGCATCAGGAGGAGGCTGGGGCGGAGGGGAGGGCCCGGATCGTCTCTTTCCCCCCCCCTCCCCCCAGGGATGGCGTGCCCTGTGCCCCGATCGGTGCTCGGGTCGCTGCCCCGGCCGGTGTCCCGTTGTCGGTCGGTGCCTGAGGCCTTTCTCCTCTCTTCCCCTCGCAGCTGCCCCTGTCTTTGCTGAAGACGGCGCAGAACCACCCCATGGTGAGTACCGGCCGTGCGGCCCAGCCCCGCTCCCCTCGCCGGTGCCGTTCCGGTGACACCGGGCACATCCCGGTTCCGGCGCCCCGTGACTGCCGTTCTCTCGCAGCTGGTGGAGCTGAAGAATGGGGAGACGTACAACGGGCACCTGGTGAGCTGCGACAACTGGATGAACATCAACCTGCGGGAGGTCATCTGCACGTCACGGGTAAGGCCGGGGCACTGGGCACCGGGCAGGGGTCAGCACGCATTGTGTCCGCAGAGGACGGGCACCGGACAGGGCTCACACACCCACTGTCACCCCAAATACCGTCCCCAAATTTCCCCAGCTCTGTCCCTGCAGCCAGGCTGGCTCTGCTGGAGTTCACGTCGCTCCCATGGAAGCGTGACCTCTGCCTGAAATGCGGATTTAATGTAATTATTGATGGTGTCCGTACGATTATTGATAATGTCTGTATGAATATTGATAATGTCCATAATGAAGGAGCAGCTCTGATGTGCAGGTGACGTTCTGCACATCACAGGATGAGGGGCTGGGGTCCCTCATCCCCCTGGGTGAGGAGCTGGGACCCACCTGCTGTGATGCTGATCCAGGTTTCCCAAAAACCAGAGCCTTTACCTGTCCCAGGCAGCCTCAAACAACACAATATCTTTTATTCTTTTATTCCCTGCCTGTCTCTCCCCTCTCCACATCCAGCTGAGTTCACTGAGCCTGCCTGGGACCTTTGCCCTTGGCCAAAGTTTTTCCAGCAGATTGGGATCTGTGCTTTGGGCTTTGACCTCCATCAGAAATGCCCGGTCTTGTCCCTGTGGGAAGCACAGATGGATGGAAATGCAGCTGCTGTTGTGCTTTCCCAGCCCTGGAATGTCAGAGCTCCACGGGAGAGGCTGGCAGGGATCCTTGCTCTTCCAAAATTCTCCCTTCAAACCCCCCCAGCTCCCGCTGAACCCACGACAGGAGTTTGGAGCACCTCAGCGTGACAGAGGAGACGCTCTGAGTGAGGCTTGGGAGGGAATTTTGGGGTGGAATTTTGGAATTCATGGCTGGATTTTGGGTCAGACAAAGAACCGCTGTTGAGTTTAGTGGGAGGGAGACTCAGAGGAGGCGACAGCAAAGGTGACCCAGGACACGGGTGAGGATTCCCTTCTCCTTGGAAATTGGCTTCCAAAGGCTCAGCGCTGGGAAGAGCAGCAGCTCAGGTTTTATTCCCTCTGGGTGATCTGGAGGGATCCCCCAGAAGGACATGGAGATGTTGGAGCGAGTCCAAGGTTGATCAGAGGGATGGAGCAACTGTCCTGTGGGAAAAGGCTGGGAGAATTGGGATTCTTCAGCCTGGAGAAGCTTTGGAGTCACCTAATTGTGGACTTCCAGTGCCTGAAGGGGCCGACAAAAACACGGAGAGAAACTTTGGATGAGGGATGGAGTGACAGGACACAGGGCATGGCTTCAAACTGACAGAGAGGGCAGGGTTGGATGGGATTTTGGGAAGGAATTCCTCCCTGTGAAGGTGGTGAGGGTTTGGGATGACATTCCCAGAGCAGCTGTGGCTGCCCCATCCCTGGAAGTGTCCAAAGCCAGGCTGGACAGGGTTTGGAACACCCTGAGACAGCGGAAGGCGTGAAATTGGACGACCTTTTAGTCCCTTCCAACCCAAACCATTCCATAACTCCACAATTCTCCGACCTGGCACACAGGAGAGCGGCCTCAGCTGCCTTCAGACGTCCCCAGATCCCAGGTGAAGGTGGAACCTGCTGGGTTGGACTGGTGGGACTGGTGGCACTGGCCACTAGATGGCACGGGACAACGAGCCGGGAGCCGCTTGTTTACTGGGGGAGGCCGGAACGAGGAAGCTCCGGAGCCTGGAGCTCCATCCCTTCCTGCATCCCGAGCCAAGGAGCAGCCAGGCACATCCAAGGCAGGGTGGGGTTTGCCGGGTGTCTCTTGGAAGGGAATTGTTGCTCCTCTGCCTCGTCCTGGGCTTGCCCGTGCAGGCAGAGCCGCCCCAAATAACTGCGGCTGCTGCATCCCAGGAGAGCAGGAACGGGGCGTGCTGGTTTCACCTCCTCTCCTGGGATGAGCAGGCGCCTCTTCCACATGAGGATCTCTGGGCTGGAGCCATCCCAGCTGCAGCCAGGCCCTGCTGGAGCCGGGACGAGGCGGGTCCCAGTCTCTCCTCCCAGTTACATCATGGCCAGGGAGTTGTTGTTCAGCTCCAGGTTCTTATTCCCACAACCACTCGCTGAAACCCTGCTGCTATCCCAGCCCTTGGTATCCCAGGAAAACCCTGAAACTGCCTGAAAGCAACGCAGGGAGGTGGCTGCTCCGAAACTGGGCACCTGAAGATATTTTTTTATTAATATTACTTTTTCTCCTTAATAAATATTTAATGTGTGAGCTGCTCATTTCCCTCAGCTGCTCACATCCCACAGCCAGCTGGCTCCAGAGCTGCCTCGCTGCTCCCTCCACACCCCAGAGGAGTGAAGGAGTGGGGTGACACCCATCTGGGGAAGAATCCTGGCCACAGCTGCGTTTTTCTTAGCAGAATCGGTTGTTCGCCACCATTTTAACTCGTGTCTCTTGTCCCACTTTCAATTCCCTTCTCGTGCCAGAAGGGAAGAAGGGCCTTGTTTCCTCACTCTCTTCTTCTGGCGTTTTCTGCCAGTGTTTTGGGGAACAAATTGAAACTACATTTGTCTGTGGGGCTCTGTGTTTTGGGGAGTTAAACCCCTCTTTTTCACAGCTGGTTACAGATAACGCTCCCAGCAAAGACTGCTGGAGCTCTCACCCTCTCCAGAAACACCCAAAAGCCCTAAAAGTGGCCCAAAAGCACCAGGTTTTGCTCGTGGCCTCACGTGTTGCTCCCCAACAGGACGGGGACAAGTTCTGGAGGATGCCCGAGTGCTACATCCGTGGCAGCACCATCAAATACCTGCGGATCCCTGACGAAATCATTGACATGGTGAAGGAGGAGGTGGTGTCCAAGGGCAGAGGCCGTGGTGGGATGCAGCAGCAGAAGCAACAGAAGGGCCGTGGGGTTGGAGGAGCTGGACGAGGTAAAAATCCTATTTTTTATTTTCCCCCCATTTTTTTTTCCCCCCCCTCCTATTTTTTTTTTGGGGGGAGGGGGATCTCTGCCTTGAAAATTTCCCCTCTTGTGCAAGGAAGAGCTCCTGCTGCTCTGTTTGAAAGCCAGGGCTGTGTCTGGGAGAAGCTGGAGCCGCTCCTGAGCAGGATCCAGTCGAGCGAGTGCGTAAGGCAGCCCCTGCCAAGGAACAGGGAGGATTCGTGCCAGGGATGGGCCTCCCTCGTTCCTGGGGTTGGGCAGGAGCTTGAAGAGAGTCTGAACTTGACTGTTTCGGCTCCTCCTGCCTCGTTTGGGAGCGTGGCCCTGCAGAGCTGTAGCTTAGCAAGGCCAGGGGGAAAACAAAAGGCTGTTCTGGGTGAAAATAGTGAAAATATACCAGGCTCTGCCCGTGGCAGTGAGAGGAGAAAAAATCATTTTCTCCCCTGTTAAAACAGGGCTTTGGATTTCCTGATTTGTTAATGTATTTATATTTAAAAAAAAAAAAAGAGAGACAAAACTATCTGAGGGTTTGAGTTCCTCCTGGAACATGAATAATTCATGTTTCTGAGAAAGGAGAGGTTGCCACTTGGGAAGAAATAGGTCACCAAAACAACCCTTCCCATTTGGCGGGGTTAGGTGATCCCAGGGCACTTCAGCTGGGGGACATGCTGCTCCTTTTCCCCCAAATTACCCCCTGGAAGCCTGGGAGCTGTTCCTCTGCTCTCCCTTAATGCCACATCCTTGGGATTTGTGGTCACCCCACAACCCCGGGGCTGCTCTCGGCCCGGGCTGCGCCTGCAGTGGGAGCTGAAAAATCCCCAGCTCAGTTTGAGGAGGAGCCCTGGGGCTGGGGACGTGTGTGAAGCTCTCTGGAGAGCTGCCTTAAGGAGCTGCCTGTGCTTTGGCTATGCCAGGAATCCTGGCAGGACAGGTGGGATGGACCTGGGGCCATTCCCAGCCCAAACCCCCTGGAAGCTCCCAGCAGGCTGAGGTGACCTTTTCCAAAATCTGAAGGTTTTATTTTATTTATTTTAATTTTTGTTCCCTTCCTTTCCTTTGCAGTGCCCGGAGCACTTGACAAAGGCAGGTTTTTTTGGGATTTTTTTGGGGGATAAACACCAAAAC